CCAACGCTTCGTGTTTTGGTCGGGGGAGTTGTGACGGGTGTGGAACACCTCACAGGTGGAGAAGTACGGTGGAGTCCAATGGAGTGAGCGAGCAAAGGGACGCGACGTGAACGGAGCGGGCATCGCGACTCGAACGGAGCAATCGGACGCTACTAGGGGCTCCTGGCCTTACTACTAGTAACAAGAAAGCTGGCTACTAACCCTTTTTTTGGGGGGGTCATTGTACGTGAACCATGTGCGGCAACATCGATTCCTTGTGGAATTCAGCAAGGGGCTCAGGTCGGGTGGCTGTTAGCATGTTTGTCTAGCTGAGGGTGCTCATATACCCGAAGTTCCTGGGGACGCCTGAGAATGTGTGGAGCCAATCCAACAGACGCCCTGGATGGACCAAAGTAGCTACATTCGTGTTCCCAAAACTCATCATGCACTTACACAAATTGTGCACCAATTGTGTGTTGGGCCTGTGTTGGGAACTCATTTCTACATGCGATTTTTCATTCTAGGTTCCAGACCAAGGGTTGAGTGGACCCGAGGCCGCCGATTGGGTCCTTCCAGCACACCATTGGTTCTTTTTGGTCCCAGTCAGATGGCCCTTAGTTGGCTTTGCGCTGGGTTGCCCGAAGTACGCTGCTATGACACCCCCCGCTTCCAACTCATCCGAACTGCACACTCCGGGCAGGGTTGTTGAGTCAATCGTAGTAGCGCGAACGAACAGACCGACCCTACCTCCACTGAAATAAATGTGATAGGTTTTCCTTTGTTTGCATGTTTCTGTCTCAATCTCTCTCTGTCTGTCTGTCTGCCTGGCTGGCTGTCTTTCCGTCCGTCCGTCCATCCGTCCGTCTGCCTGTCTCTCTGTGTATCTTTTTCGCCTCCTTTCGCTGCTCCTACCTTGCAAGTGGAATCTCTTCCATACAAGATCTCGGTTGCAAATCTTGACCAAGCTGAGGGACGACCATGAAGAGCTTTGCGGTTTTCTCGGCTTCACGGTGTCCCTTGGGCTACATCTTGCGCGGCTCGTTTTGGCCATTTCTCCTGGATTCAGGGGACTTCTTTCGGGTGGAAGGGCGTCAAGAGTGCCGTGTTTGGTTCAGGGAGTTGCCCCCACAAACACATGGGACTCATTGGTGATGGCCATTGACCGACTGAAGCTGGGGGTATTTTGACAGGCCGAACTGTGTGCTTCGACCTCGACCACGCCCCGCATAAAAGCGCAGGGTGCCACATTGACCAGTTGTGGGCAGAGGTCGGTTCCATACCGTGCAGGACGGTTGGACAGTACCGCTTGGAGGGGTGCGTTTGGGTCGCCTCAGAGGCGGACGCCTTCGGGTTGGACCAAGGTGGGAGGCAGGAGGCAAGGCCGAGAGTTCCGAGGAACTTAATGTTGACTCTTGATCAAGCAACTGAGGAGGTTTTACCATCCTGCGGTTTGTTCATCAAGAGTGTGCATTTATATAGACCCGCCGCACGGAAGAGTCAGCCGTGAGGCCGCCGGCAACTCGCAGCTCAAGCCCCGCGGCCGGGTCCACAGAAACCGTCAATGGCAGGGTTTACCAGTCATCTACATTCATCCACTGAACCAGGCAGTGGCAGTGGAGGCCCGCAATGATCCGTATGTTCCACAATTAATCATCGTAATTGGAACTTCTTATCGTTGAATTGGGCTCACGTCTACGTGGCCGGATTTTGCCGGACAGGCAAACCCAAATGTTGGGACAAGTTGGTGGGTCTTAGGGACCAGAACAGGTTAATAATGTTAATATAAGCTACTAGGAACAAGGTGCATCGCTTCTAGTAACAAGTGCCTTAC